GGCGGCATGGCTTCCGGGCAATAGCCAGCACAATTCTAGTTCAGTCATTCGAGTCTATTTCCACGCGAATCTATTGCTCGACTGCCTTTGTTCAAATTGAAGTGCATTAGTCCAAAGACTGATTCCGTCTTTGTGTCATTCGGCATCCCAAGGCTTGTTGAGTTCAGTGCATTCAGCGCCTTCATTCGAGTGCATGATTAAAATGTTATTATTCAAGTGGATACTAAATATATTTACTTGGCTCAATTACGAAGTATAATTCAACACTGACTATGAGTTAAGCTGCCTGAAATCCGACACATTAGAATGAAGTACGACATGTCAGAGTGAAATGCGGCACATCGCAGGTATCAAATCAATCTGCCTCGCATCAAAATCGTCTGGGTGCGCCATCTGGTTCGCCCGGCAATCTTATTCTCAAGATGGCGAAAACAATAGCAAGCGTTATCGTCGACTCGCTTCTCGCAATGGTGGACCAACACATATGATACAGTATACACAGGAAACTAATTACCTGGTGATCATATGGGCTGAACGGTAGATTGTCACACCTGCTCCCCGCGGTGCATTTATTTCAAATCCCTGAGAATTTGATTTTCAGGATTGTGTATTTCTTGATTGCGCTGACGGAGCAAGGATGAAAAGAAATAATCAGCCGTATGATCCAGTGTAAAGTGGAACACTTCTTTCCTCGAGCAAAGAATAGAGATTGAGTGTACCCACAAGCCATAGTTCTCAGATATATTTCATACCAGTCTCTTATGAAGTGAACTGTATATGTGACGGCGATTCCGACCCGGAACAAGTGCAGTGCCAGGAATGTAGGCTCTGGGAACACATCGGGTGCTTGCCCCCTGGCGTGTATTGGAATGATCCGAAGGTCAAGTTGATCTGCAAGAGATGCAGGCATGACCACTTTGTCGATCTGTAGGTCTCGTTCATTTATACGCATGCCCAAGTTAACAGTCCGTCCGACCTGCTAGCTTCGAGCCGACTCAAATTGTTTTGGTCCCATCACCTCTTCTTCCGGACTGGCAGTAGAAGCTCTGCCCAATAATACAAACAAATGCGATTCAACTGCCGGCTTAGGTGTGCCGTGCAATTTATCAATTGTTCACACCCAGTCCCCGAGCCGGGCATTGCATGAATTTGTGCATCAGCCCATGAAATTTGATGGTATGGACTCATTTGAAGTTATTTCTCGAATCCGACCCTCCGCGGGGGCCATTGAGCGTGGGCACCTTTAAGAAACATCTAATTCTATTTCTGATGGGGACGGCATATAGCGGCATGTCTCCCGAATCGGAGGCGAAGTCGTGATCAAGCGGCCTCGGCGGAGTGTCCGGCATGAGGTAATTTTATAATGCGGTCTTGTTGATGTCGAAATCTAGGCTCGTGAAACCAGCCCGGCCCGGTGAAATTGATGCCATCGTAAACTCAGGCATTCACCGGGACAGGCTGGGCCCCCATGTCGCCTGTTTGGCAGATGGCAGATCTCTCCGCCATTTCAGACGCTTGACTTAGAAATAAAATGGAAACGACGCTTTTGCAACTCACGAACTACACAGCAGAGCCGGGGGGTGTCTGAGGCAAAGATGGATAACTTTTCATTCTCTATCCATTGATACCCCCTTCATTTTTTCTGCCGTCCAAAAACATGTTGGTATCAATGGATAGAGAATCCAAAGTTATCCATCTTTGCCTAAGGTACTTTGAGACTTTTTTTTAAGGTATTCGGCGCGTTTGTTCTAAGTCGAAGGTCTGAAATGGCGGGGCGGAAATCCATCACTGAAACAGGCGACATGCGGGCCCAGTCCGTCCACAAGGTTACCTGTTGTTTGACGTCCCATCATTATTTGCTCCGATGTTGTAGCTATTTGTTCTCTATCCTAATCCGTCGCCGTTCCCACCCGCTCTGTCTTGTAACCGAGTGGACGTCGACTGGCTTGCGAGTCTAGTCGAAATCCAGAAAGTATTGCACAACTTGATCTGCCACGTGTTAAATTTGTGTGGGTCTCCCTGACCACTCATTCCATGACCACGAACCTGATTCCAAAGAGAAATCCATCCCCATTCCACTTCTGAACGTGGACAAAGCAAAAATACTCTTGTGGAGTCAGAACTTGCCTACCCAAATACAGAAAATATTGCCGTCATGTCGCGCTGCCGCCAAGCGCCAGAACTGTGATCCGGGTTCCGGCCCGACGGCCACCGCGCGCAAGACCCTTTACTTTCCGCTCTGTTTGAAGTCGCATCCACTGCCATTATTCGGTGTCCTCTATGGTTATTTCCTTGCGGCGCTACTCTACCCTTTACATATCTATTTATTCCATTATAGTGCTTGGGGCACTTCTACGTATAATATGAACTAGCAGTGACCGGTGTCGTCGCCGCGGTATGACACAAAGTAGGTTACCCTTGCCACGCTACCATATCATCTTCATCCTGGTTTGGTTTACACGGCTGGGAAACTTGTTCGGAGGGCACATCTACATTGGGAAATTCTATATGGCTCCCCGGGGCGCAATTCATGAAACGCGTGCCCCCCCCAGGGCTTTTCAGGGGTAATAGCGCCGCTCACAATTTCTGTGAATCGAGTCCAGATCTTGAAGATATCGGCCGTGTTTTGTCCGATAAGTCTGCGATAAGTCCGATATTCCGTGCAGATCCCGTTCCATTGCTGTCTAATCATTTTTTCTTCATTGTCTGGCTGCGGTGCTTTGTCCAGTTTCCTCGCTCATTTTTCAGGTCGATCGCAAAAGAGAGGCAGTTTCTTTCCTCTATTCCATGCGGATCCCGCGCTATCGCCGTCAAATCATTTTCTTTATTGTCGCACGGTCACGCTTCTCTTCCCTTCATGTATTACTCGCCCTGTACCCCCAATTCCAGAAAACACAGTGACTACGTCAAACGGCTTGCTTTTGAAAGCTCCGAGAGACAGCCCACGGAAAGCAAGACTTGAAAAACTGAGCCATTGCGTTGCCAGGGATCAGGGAAGATACGAGGGGAGAGGACGAGCGAATGATGGTAGTTGGAAGATAACTGTCGACACCTCTCTTGCTGATCCACTGCGGCATCAATTGTTGTTCTGTTATCCAAGACTCGGAGGAGCGTTGAACGAAGTGAGCGCCCCATATACGGCATTTGTGCCTGAGAGGGGCGTTGATTATGTAAGAACGCCCCGGGGCGCCAAAAAGAATAAAACCATCTACATTGCCAAATTGTAAAATTTTGATTGGACCAGTTCCCGTGTTCCGATGCATTCAATCTTTTGAGTCCATCACTGCTACATACTAGCTAAAGCATTTATGTCCAAAGTATTTCACCCTCGGCCTTCATCCTGCGAGTCCATCACTGCTATCAGCTAAAGTATTCATCTAAACCCTTATGAACACCTCCTTCGGTGAAATTTGTACCACATATGCAGCAATATAGCGGTAATCCGTACTTGTCAACACCAATCTGGTAATAGAGTGAAATTCCTGGAGGGTCCGATACCGCTCGACAGTAAGTCTCGTGTTTGCTTGGAATAGGCGGCACGGCAGAAAGCAGAGTTCTCCAGAGTGGCATAGCTTCATAGTCACGTGGCTTACATATCTTCTTCAATTTCTGTTCGGATGGACCAAATCATTTGCATCCAATATGCAGGGCACCGTGAAACAAGGATGGAGTCCTGTTGTGGATCATCGCTTTTCTCCAGGGTCTATATATTTCACTATTTTTAGCTGTCTGAGCGTCCCCCACGGATGCGTCGCAATAATCACATTAGACAGTTTGCGGTGCAGCCATTGGAGCCATCCAATGGCTGAATGACGTTGCGTTGTCTGGTGGCTCCGCCTGCCAAAAATGACGTCAGATGGCTGTGGCACAACGTCATTTTGCCATGGTATGGCTCCAATGGCTGCAACGCAAAGTGGCTATTGCCTCAAGATAAGTGGTTGTACACAAAAGTGGCCCCCACTGATAAAACCGTAGAATTCTTGGAAAGGGCTCGACAGATTTGGGCGAAATCTGCCCACCGGGCTCGCACGAGGTCCTCGTTGGTGCTGCCACCACCACTAGACTGCGCTAGGCCTGGTTCCTAGGTTATATCATTTGTTTAGCAAGAAAGAAATACCTAAATTTGATTTGATATTAACAAATGAACCGAAAAGTGCGCATTCCTTCCGAGGGTACCAACAAACTCATTTGGGTCTTGAAAGACCTCAAACCGAGTTCCATTGAATTTGCAGGTGCCGGGAGCACTCGGTGCAGAATTTCATTTGGGTGATTCGGTAAAAAATTTGATTTGATATTGACAATGAACCATGTGCCGTGCGTTCCTTCTGGGGGGCTCAACATTTGGGTCTTGAACGACCTCAAACCAAGTTCCATCAAATTTGCAGGCGCCGCCTAAGCGATCAATTGCCGATTTATGCCACTTTAGTTTCGGGAAAGATTGAGTGTCAAGGCGCGCAACCAAATGTCATCCAAATTCGCATTTGTCATATACTTCAGTGTGAATCCCCGAACACACACACAAGGGCAAGAGGGACTAAAGTTTTACACCAGTCTAACTGACTTCGTACCTTTCAACGCATGACATATTTGTACTAAGTACAGTATATGACAGTGCAAAATGTCATTGTTTTGCAAGGATGGAGTTGATGAGGGCATGCATGCGCACTGCCACACATTGACGCGGTGGTAATGCAGCACCGATGCGCATCTGCTGCGGCACTAGTGCGCACACCTGATGCTTCAACAAGAATCAAGGGCTGCTAATCCTATCTCCAAGTCTGTTTTTGTACCTAAACATAGTGAAGGTCCCGATGGTTGAAATTGAAAACGTTGAACTCAAGGACTTTGCTCTCCAATAGCCCAGTTTCTTGTTCCATTGCGGAGGCGGCGGCTCCGCAACTGTAATTTTCAGTCTATATACTAATACGAGTTATTTTTCATTTCAGGCCTTCATACTCTAAACATGCAAAAATTACACCACATAAATTATAGTATATTTAGGGCCCTTAGCTCAAATGGTAAAGCGTCTAATTGTCAATTAGGAAAAAATCAGTTCGAATCTGGTGGCGCGGTAAACTACAGACTAGTACCAATATATATGAAACAACGCGCGACTCGGACAAGAGTCTTCAGAAGGCAAATTCACGGAGTTTTGGTGGTACGGCTGGATGACCTGTGGGACAGTAAACAATATCAGTGCTCTGGATTCGTCCGAGCCAAAGCTGAGAGCTGTAGATGGAGGGAGACTGTACATCGAAAGTTAAAGCGAAGTGCGGCACAAATGTGGCCGAGATACGGTGATTGCCGCATTACACCGGCACCAAATTACGTCAGGAACGCCATAGGACGAAGATAGGAGGTGAAAAACCAGGGAGAAGAAAAGATCTTTCACAGTGCGGATTCATTGGTTACAGAGGAGGGAGCTGACAGCGGCTTTCAATATCCTGTTGAATACCTCAACTCCATCCGTGCCTCGGGATTGCCCTTATCCAAATTGGCATTGAAGGTTCGATGTCCAATCATGATACTTGGAAACCTTGATCCATCCCGTAGTCTCTGCAATGGATCTTGAGGGATTCTAACCAGAATTGCTGCCCATGTCCTCAGGATTCTTCTCATCAGTGGGAAGCACAGTGGAAAAATAGCATTTATTCCTCGGATCTCAATTACTCCATCATCCGAACAAATTGCTTTTGAGTATAAAAAGCCATTTAAGCCGCCTTGGTAAATCCCTGGACCCTGGAAGAGCCCAAGGATCGCAAGCCTCAGCCCCGCAACAAGGGGGCGGCAGGTTTGTCAACCTCGCTGAGGGTCTATACATGCTCTACTTCCTTATACAGCTCTATCATTCCTTGCCAGCATATATCCCCATTTTCTGCAAGCGCAACAAAGACTAACCGGGGTAATCGGCATGAAGGTATGGCATCATCTGAGGTCTGAATGTCGTTCCCATTCAGTCCCAGCTCCTTGAGGCCAGGGAAGCAGGTCATGACCTCAACTATCCCACTGCTTGAGAGAGTGCGGAAGCTGAGGATGAGCCACGAAATTGTGGGTATGGTGGTTCCCAAAATCGAGACCAGTGATTGTAGGCTGCTGTCCCCATCCTCGTGCACATGGATGGAGAGGCAGAGCAGATTAAAGCTCTGACTAAACAATCCCATCTCCGCCTTGTCGACGAGCAGAATCTGGTGGGAAAAATGAAGGTCCAAATTATGAATGGTGGAGAGGATGGTGGACTTTGAATGGTGAACCAGGCTAAAAAATGCCTTGATATTTCCCGCCCGAAGGCTCATGCGGGAGAAGAGGTGGCATCTGCTGCGAGGAAGCCATTGCTGACATACCAAGCCCAGATCTCCTATTTCTCGGGGACCGGCAACAAAGGGTGAATGGACCAGATCTGGTGTGACAAAAAGGTCTAGGACTCGGTCAATGAGCTCTTGTGGGAATTCCTTCATGGTAGCGCAGGTGTAGAATGATAGTGAGAGGATGAAATGACACGTCTGGTTTGGGTGATTTGATGCCTGTGACCGATCACGCAATCTCAGCTTCTGCCCCGGCTCCCCTATTATACCCGCACGGACCACCTCTTTGTTTGTGAGTATTGAGACGGAACGCGGAGGCGCTGCGGCATTCTAATTACCGGCCCGAACCGCAAACGCTGGGAAAATATATATTTTCACTTTTTGAACTTTCGTTCTGGGGAATCTGTAGAGGGCATCCTACTGTTCATTTGTTTAATTCTGCTAGGAGTTCTTGTCCTGTGTTAGCATGCCGATTATATATAGCACCAATATCTCGGTGTAACACATAGTTCAGTAGATGACCAGATCATTGAGAATGTTTGCAATCTTCGAGACAATCTCACACTTGAAAGATAGAAGGGAATCATCCGCGAAGACACACAAATATGAATGATCAGAGTTGTGGCCAGTTTACTCAGAGCGTGGTCAGGTCCAGGGTAAGTGAATGTATCATCGCAGGAACCTTCGACATTAGCAGGCAATGCAATCGAGTTTTCACTTCGCGCGAAGGAGCTACGTATAGCAAGAATGAAACTTGCACTTTGTTCGCGCGAAGAAATCGCCCGATTGAACAAAAGATCTCTTTGCGATACCACATAATCCCAGCTTGCTTCTTGAAATCACGTGGATTTAAATTTTGATACGAAGGCTGATGGAAGTCGGGTTGAATGAAGCACGAGCACCAATTCATCGCGAACAACCCGGAGTTAGCCGCCAAAAAGTTCTCAGGTAATCTGAGAAGCGGCTAGGCATGAATGGCGAGTGAAAATGATGACGCGACACTGAAGTACTGAACTTCGGCCTCGATGTTGACGCTCCCATTTGTCACGGTCGAGCGTGCTTGAAGATGGGGGTTGCTTAAATTGCGCAAACATCCATTTAGGCGTAATTGAATGCTCTCAGTTTCGCGCTAGTGTGCAGTGACGAGCAATAGTTCAGTTTCAGGTCTGGCTTCAAGTTCTTTAAGAGTCCCGATCTCAGGTGATTTGCGCGTGCAGCTAGTGATGTTACGGCTTGGCTTGGCTTGGAAGCCCCGGCTTGGGCTTGGAAGCCCCGGGCTTTGGCTTCACTTTCCTCAAGCCCAAGCCCAAGCCGTCGAGGAGGGCTTGGCTTGGCTTGGCTTCGGCTTAAGCCGCGGCTTGCCAGTAATTTTCCCCGGTGCCTCCGCTACACTTTCATTGTCACTCTATTACTGCCAATGCAAAAAATGCAATTAGATGTCCATATTATAGTCTGAGTCATAATTATTAAGGTCCTCTTCTAACAGATAATCCCATCCTTTTTCTTTGTCGTCGCCTACCATCATCAGCATCCTCCTCGTCATCGCACCCGGTGTTGTCCACAAGAGCCGACTTACGGAACAGCACTGAGCAGATACAGTTGCGCTGATCTATAATACTGTCCGTCAACGAGTTTGTCACATTTTGACACCGGAGTTGTGCCATCATTTTGCCCCCTCCAAGCCGCGGCTTGAGCCCTAGGCTTTGGCTTCGGCCACCCCAAGCCCAAGCCCAAGCCCGCCCGAAGCCGTGGATACGGCTTGGTTTGGCTTGTCAAGCCGCGGCTTGGGCTTCGTGGCTTCACGGCTTGAAGCCAAGCCGTGAGCATCACTACGTGCAGCTGACTTATGGCCGAGACGGAAGCAGAGAATAACCTATGTAGCGTGCACGCAGGTGAAATAAGCAGGCAAGCAGAGTCCTCTGGTGATATCTCTGAGCATACACTTTTAGGCCCTGCTCGGGTGCAACGGCTTCTGGCTCTGGCTTCTGGCTGTCACATCAGTCACGTAGATCCGGAATCAACGGGAAAAGTTCCATCACGGCAACTGTCGACGCCCATACCATCCCGCTCATTGTCCCCAGTCCTGACAATCTTTCTCTATTTTTGAAAGTGACCTGAGCAAGGGCGCATTTTGATTAGCTTTCACACATGTACTGTGCAAATCATTCTGAGAAGTTTTCATTGGTACTGAACTTATAGACTATTGATTGAAGGGCGGGAAGTGGCGGGATGGACGGTAGGTGGCGGGGAACGATGAGGGAGGCCCTTGATGAACGTTGTGCCAGTGTGTCAAAATGATGGGCCCAGACCGAAGTGACAGGGCCGAATCACGCTGAATGGTAGTTAGGTGGCAACCAAGCCAAACGGGTGATCCTTAAGAAGACTTGAATCCCATTGCTGAGCCTCTGTATACGTCGCTGTTGCATTGGTTTCGCTATAAGCCTACAAGTTATTTGGTTACGGACTATTCGCGAAAAGTGTCTAAACACTCTAAATATCTGGAACGCGTGATTATTGGGTTATTCTGGATTATACGGACGCGTGGATATATAGAGGTCGGACCTCTTCTGCTATTTGGCTCGGAGCCAGCTGCTTGCACGGAAATATTGTGAACTTGGTGCATAACAACAATTTTGTGAACAATCTCCCATTCTTTCGCTCTACTCGCGTTAAGCCATCGCTTCGTGAGGACTAGAAAGTCTGGTTTTGCGTTCCAATAAGTCCCTAGACGTCTTTGAGTGTTAACTAAGTTTGACAGGATTTCGCAAGTTGACGGATGGAACATTCTCTTGTGCTCAGCAATCTCATCACTCTTTTTATAAAATTAAGCCTCTCTGTCTGTCCGAAGCCGTATCTCCATTTGTAAACTTCTGCGGTCAACTGACAGGCATCGCTTATTTATAAAGTGGGAGCCGGCGCGAAGCGCCGGCGAGCGCTTGTTACTACCAACATTCGTCGTTATTTCCGGCATTGTTGTCGTCCCATGGATGCGTACAGGTTTGTTTTCCCTTGAAGTGTTGTGAAAATTGACTCAATCCGTGTCCAGACAAGGTCTGAACCTTCGGCAGGCTGCGTATGCTGCGAAGAAGTATAAATCCCACCGCAGAATTTTGGTTGAGGCAATGACAGACGCAAATATCATTGCGCGGGCGACCAAACCCTAGATAGTATTTCCATAAAAGGCAATTGATTGACATGTGATGCCATCATTAGGGGTTGTTTCACTTTTCCGACCGTCCGAAAAAAAAATCTTCTCTGTGAGAAGCACACCATGGGTTCTTTAACACTAGTTTTGTTGTTTCCTTGTGTTTTTACGAGTGCTCGTTGTTGAGGAAAAATGTAGAAACAACTTTTCTATTTTGGGTTGATGGCTGCCAAAAGCGGAACCGTAAGGTGATGATGGGCACTGTATCGGCCTCCGAAATAAATTTGTGATTTGTAATGAGCTGGCCAGCGATCGCCCGATCAAGGTTATCAACAGACTACAACATGTAAGGTACAAGCATTATTGTTGTAGCATTTGTCTATGAGAGACTAACTAATCAATACTTCACTCTCACTCGTCCACATAGCTCTATGGTATGGGTGAATTAAAGCCAAACCACCATTGGGCAGTCCATATACCAGACCAAATTCTAGATTATGGTCCTCTCTATAGCTTCTGGTCCTTTCTGACCGAGCGATTGAACAAGGTCCTCAAGAACCTAAACAGCAACAATTGGTCGGGCGGACTTTTTGAAGTGTCAATGATGCGAGAATTTCATCGGAT